ATATATAAACTTGTCTTTTTTTTTGCAAGGCCACTAGATGGAGACATTCCGTGTCTACTGAGATCTTTCTAACCCCATTTAAATGCTAAGTATGATTAATATATTTTGGAAATTACTAAAGGCAGCAACTGCCTATTTTTATTCGACGCAGGTTTTTAAAAATGTGTAAATGGCGCAATCAGGAAGGTTATTTTTCAAGACTGATCAGTAACTAAACCAAATGTGTCAGTTGCTTTGACAGTTAACACCCCTGAGTGGAACTTCCGAGCACTGGCACTGTGTACTTTCCAAGTGGGCTGACTTTATTTTCAATATGCTCTGAAGCCAAATAGACCCCCAGTCTGCTTGACCCACGAACCGCAGAGGCTTCTAAGATGTCACTTGCTGAGTCGCTCAAAGCAACACCACACTCCCACGTGAGCGGGTGGGTGTAAGACGTTTGTCAGGAAGGAAGTGACGCAAGAGCTTTATGATACCCTCGCTTGCGGAGGCAGATTAAACAGCGACAGCCCTCAGACGAGTACAATAATCTGTAATCGCCTGCATTATATCAGTAATACAGGGCGTTAGGTGAAGTGAAAAGATGTAGTCTCAGACAGACTTCTGTCACAACTGACATTAGTTGCAGTTTGACTGTCACTGAGGCTCATGTCAGCCTACATGCAGACACACATACACACACGCTCACTTACCAGCAGAATGAGTATGACTGCTACACTACTTACCGAACAACTGAAAAAATTTCCAAAATCAGTATGTTAATTGAGCTCCTGGGGGTTTACAGTGCTTCATTGCCAAATTTTTTAGAGGGAGGCTGAAGGGTAAATGTGGGAGGTGTTTTTGAGCCAAAAGTGCGTTGGCAGATGAGGTGCAGACTTTTGACATCACATTCTACTGTAACACACGTATACACTTGAAGGAGGTACACCACTGTCTGCTGAGAGTCATGAATTAGAATGTCAAAGGCAGCATCAGCCAAATGTCATTCAAATGTCATATGATGATGATGATGGTACTTTATAAACGTGACTCAGCACACAGATCATGTGGAAGTGATGTATGTCTTATGCCCTTCATTTTCAAGTGGGACTTCAACTCCATTGTCATGTAACCTTAAGGACTTCAAGGGTGGGAAATGTAGTCACCTAACATCTCATCATTACTCAGTGAATTTCCCAGTTTTCCAGAAGTCAAAGCCTTACTGTCAGGAAATATCAGTTCCCCTTTCCAAGGAAATGAATGCCACTAATTTTAAATGGGGATGGACAATCACTCAACCAAAGCATCCAAACAAATGAGTAACTTTAGATAGTGCTGCTTTCATTTCAGCACACTGGGTACTTTGCACTTTTAATTTCAGTTTTATCTTTATGACCATATTGCTGTGGTTTAAAATTTAAAAAGGGAATTAAAAGCATTATTCACCAGACTGACAATAACAATACCATCACATGATCAACAGTGAAGGGGAAATTTGTAACTTTTCAGTGCCCTCTAGCTACATTTGTGACTCTTGGCATGAGTAAATCATAGGTTTTAACGAAGATGACCTCAGTCCTCAATCCTAGACTTCCTAAGTTCAACATAACGAGACATTTTCTCAATTTCCTTTGCAGAACATTAAAACATATTTTTTTTCTTTTAAACAGTAAGATTAAAAACAACAACAAAAGAAAACATTTTACTTCTGTTGTGTGATTTCTTGTGGTTTGTGTTAAATGCATTCCCAGTGGCAATGACTAACACAGTTTTCACACAAACAGGAAAGTCCCTCCTCACAATGTCACAATTTGAAGCTTTTGTTTACCAAACTGCACATCCCAAACCCTGTGAAATGAAATCAATTATAATAATAATAACAATACATTTTATTTAAAAGTACCTTTCTGGACACCGAAGAACACTGTACAGAAAAACAGAAAACAAATAAAATACAGGCATCAAACTAATACAAGTCCAAACAAGTACAGATGTTGCAATGAAATTTCAGTCAGTATACTCAAATTACTCAACTTAAGAGGATGTAGCAACCATGAAAGCCCTTATATGTTGGTTGTAAAATAACTGCTAGGTAGTTTCATTATCAGCCTCCCAAAACTAGTTGAGTCAAAGCCTTCATTAAAAATCAGTAAAAGTACTATGTTGATTTTTTACAAATATACTCCAGAACAACAAGTGAGCTACTATAAAGTAATGCTACTGCACTGGTAATGACCTACTTTATTCCTATTTATGACACAGCAGCTTCTTTTCCTCCTTTTTTTTCTTTTCTTCTTCTAATTAGATTACAAAAATGATTAGAATTAAATGCAAATGTGCTATAGTTCATCATTTGTCTGGGTTAAAGTCTTTAAAAAAAAAAAATTCACTACAGTTAATGTATGACAACATGAGTGCGTAAGTGTGACAAGCTTAGGACACACCCCCAAGGAAGAAGAAAAAAAAAAAAAACAACACTATGAAAAGCCTGCTGAGCTAGTTGTGTGGTTGAGTTGTGTGTTGAGTTTTAAGGTCACAACACTCAGAGAGTTCTTCATTTAACATTAGACCCCAGAACAGTGCTTTAGGTCGAGGATTTAATAGACTAAAGCTACAGGTTTAGATAAATTAAATCACTCTGTCGGGGGGAAAAAAAACAGTACCTGGACTATTTCTTGGATTGGATTACCTGAAATCTCTCTTGAAGTGCCAGTATCTTCCTTACCTACAAGAGTGGAGGGCTGACAACAGAATGGCAGTGATCCTGTGGATGATGAGTCTCTCTCTGCTGATGCACGGCTGCCTGTGCAGCCCTGGACTGATTACAGGCGGCTGCCTGAGGTGGACACCAAGTGGACAAGAAGTCTGCTGTGAAGCCTGTCATCCAGGTAGGCAATAAAGAAAAGAATAATGATAGTATTGGGTTTTTCTGAGCACAGATACGTTTATAAATTTATAAATATAAAGGGAAAAGCGTTTTTGGATACATAGCACTGATTAAGTAGAACACTGTACTTCATGAAACCCTATACTTACAGTGTACTGTACATTATATATAGTAGGTGAAGGAATGAGAAATGCCCACTTTGTTCATATTATTCTGAAACCGTGCTCTTATCAATGGATGTGAAAAAAATAAAAATCATATTCCATTCTTTAGGGAGTTCCTCCGTGGTGGTTACATTTAACCAACTATAGTTTCAGTGGTTTCTCACCTAATCCCACAACAAGGAAGTGGAGGATGCTGCTCATATATCCAATAGTTTGAAGCTATCATGCCAGTCTTTAACTTCCAAGTGTATTTTTTGATAACTGTAGCTGCTAGAGTGAAGAACTCTTTGCTTCTAAGTACTCTCATGTGTTGCATCTCAAATTAGAAACTATTACATGATGTAGCTAATGTGCCTGAAATTCTCTCCTGCTAATCTGACAAGCATTTACAGTGAAGCTGCCTGTGTGTGTTCTGTGTGCATGTTTGTAGGACACCGCCTCGTCAAAAAATGCGGTCTAGACCCAAAAGAACTTTGCACACCTTGTGAATCCGGGAAATTCATTCTGAACCCCAAAGCCGAAAGGTGTACCTTGTGTACCCAGTGCATAGGTATGTCAGCGTGTTGGACAAGTCACAGAAATACATAAAGCATTTCCTTTGTAGTGCATTACAATCTGAACTCATCTGTAAATATGCAAAGTTACGATTCATCTCTGTGTATGTTTAGACGCTCAAGTCTTGGTGAAAAACTGCACAGCCACAAGTGATACAATGTGTGGCTGTAGAAAAGGACTCATCTGTGGGGATGCTGACTGCAACTTCTGTGTGGAGCCGTGTGGCAAAGGCCAAGAACCTTCTGGTCGTAAGTAAAACTACAAATAAGCATTCCTTTAGCACACGCTGTATGTAATTACAAAGTAATCTGAATGACTCTCTGCACAGGTTCTTGCAAAGCATGTCCACATGGAACCTTCAATGACAAAATGAACTCAAAGTGTAAACCCTGGAGCACCAAGTAAGATATACCCCTAAGATATATGAAGACTTTCCCTGCTATTTCAGACGTTTGCCTGTTGCCATACTCACAAATATCATGAAAACCCAGAAAAGTCACTGTGATTCCTCTGTCACTCTTATTATTTTCAAAGGTGCCCCAAACCAAACCAAAAAATTGAAGTGGAAGGAGATGCGTTTAATGACATTAAGTGTGGTAATGCTTCGATTCCCACAGTGATCCACTCAAAGAAACCTGGTAGGACATGATTCTGTTCCCTTAGTGTCCTGGTCCTTTAATTTTTAATTATATTTCAAACCATTTATAACTTCCTTTTGTTTTCAAGCAGATGACACAGAACAGGCCTGGCCAATGGTGTTATCTGCAGTGACCAGTGTAGTTTTGATGGCCTTCAGCATCATCGTCATCATCATAGCGGCTATGAAAATCCTCAAGAAACGAAAGAAGGTTGACAAGCCAATCAAAAAAACACCCGTAATTAGAACCCCTACAGGTAACTTTTATCTTAATTCATTACAGATTTACCTAACTGCAATGCCTCAATCATAATTATTACATGTGGTATTTGTCAAACCAATCACAAATACACAAACATTATATTTGTCTCCCTGCTCATCTTTTTCTGCTTTAGATGATCCCAGGACTTTAATTGCAATAGAGTGCAGTTTCCATGAGGCTCAGCAAGAACAGGGCAGCAGCTCTGAGTCACTCAACTCCAAGGACTCCTCAGAGCAGCTCATTGCATGAATGGACGAGGCTGGAGAGTCACACTGTAATACTTTTTGAGGTGTTGCTGAAGTCTGATACCCCAGAGGAAATGGAATTTGTCTTTGTGATACTGAGCCACTAGATTGAAGGATGTCTTTGTTGAACAAACGAGTTTGGTTCTAAATGACAAATAGGACACTGTGTTAAACCAACTGGCTTTTTGTTTTGTTTTGTTTGTTTTATGAGACCAGCCCAAAAATCTAGAAAGATCAGGATAGAGGTAACATTTTGCTTAACAATTACACCAGGATACAGATACAGTGAGCCTTTGATGGTTCAATGAGTAAACATACACGTGAGATGAAGGGGAATTCTCAGAGGGGAAAAGACAACATGGGCTTGACAATAGCTTTTATTATCATCTAAGTAATAGCACGCAACAAGGCTGCGTTTTTGTGTTTAACTTTCAGTTTACTTTGAAGGATAAAACGTTCCTGGACTAACAATGGAAAGCTTAAAATCATTAGACCAAGTTTGTCATTTAATGGTAAAACAACATACCTCACATTTAAGATCTGTAAAACCACTGGAAGTCATTTATTTTTTACTTTTAAACTATGTTGAAACTTTTTTTTGGACTTGTGTGACATAATACTGTAGAACCAAAGAGTGTGAATGAGTTTCATGCTGTGATATTTGCATGTGTGAGTGGTAAAACTGCTGAATGTTACTCAGTGTGAAAGTACAGTGCAGGTGGGTGTTCAGCTGGGTGTAAAAAAAAGGTCTGTCAGCAGACGGTTTTTAGTCTCATCTAATTCTGAGCCCACATATGCCTCCCAAAATAGATGTCTGATTTTACAAAGGTTCCAGTGACCTGCTGGAGGTAACTGGTGTTTACTGCTGAACTTCTAAGTATGTGACCTTAGTCATGTTGCAGCAACTAGATAAGACTAGATAAGACAGTACTGTTTAAATAAGGTTTTTATCAGGTTAAGCTACATCTCAGAAATGTATTTTTTTTTTGTTATTATTTATCTATGAATGGTTGTACTTGTAATGAAATGTGAAAATGATAGCGTAGATTACTATAATAGTGAAGGTAGAATGGGACACAGCCTCTTTCACTCCACTTAACATTACCAGGAACTACATGGACTTTCCTACATTTGCTTAAACAGTCATAAAAAAGTCCACTGAAGGGAGTTTCCCTCCATCAATAGGTAATCCTACAATATATGCTACAGTTCTGGGGAGCCTACAGGCTAATAAAAAAAATAGTCTGGATTTTCACAGAATGGTTGTGGCTTTTAATGACACACAAAGACTGGGTAGGCTTCAGTAGTACTCACTGAGCAAGCTGAGACATGCCTCTGGAGCACCAGTTTGTCGCAATGGGTTTCCCAAGAGGAATTTTTATTGGTTGAAATGTCAAGCGTCATGCAATCATGCAATCATGCACGTGCACAGATTGTCGAGTTTCCTGTTCAGTTGGGAAACAAATATGATAAGCAGCTAGCCGGTGATACATATCACAAAAATTTGATTCGGGGTCATGTGGAAAACCCCCAAGAGTCTTGTACTGAGGGTTACGTTTGCTTATCTTCTAGTGCAGTGGAGCGGGCAGCAAGAGCAGGACAAATGTTCTTTTTTAATGTATTTCTTTTTTTTTTATATATCTATAACTGTAGCAGATGCATGTTTCTTTGTAAATGGAACTTTTGAGAAATACTAGGTGTGGGTTTACAGCGAAAATGTGAACCCACACTTATAGTAATGTGTATGTATGAGTCACAACTCCCCCAAATGCAGTTTGTTGAAAGTTCACTGGTGTTGCTTTGATAAAAAAGTCATCACAATACAGTCAAACAATAGTCACACAGCAACATATTAGAACTGTAGCACTTTATTTCACCAGGCAACTGTTACCTAATTAGTATGATGCACTTCTGGATTTAACTTTCTGTTATATGTTTTTGATATATTTTACTAACTGGGACTGTACTGAATGCATTCTTTTAAACTGTACTTTTGACATTTTTAAACACGCAATAAAAAAAACATACACATATATTTTTTTATTTGTTGCATTTTTTAAAGAATAGCTGCATTCATAGTGGCCTAACTAGACAGTGGCATATTGCATTTATAAAAAAAAAAAAAAAAGATAACCCAAAAAAGTGTTATAAATGTGGAAGTAATAACATAAAGAAAATAAAATCAGAGACCATTGAGTATTAATATGTGCATAAAAATCTAATCACTGCTGTTAGATTAGTATTCAGTATTAAGAATAACTTAATACTTAACTTAATGGAATAACGTTGACTGGTGTCATACTTTTGGACTGGTAAAAACTCACTTGGCAAAATATAAAAGACGTCATCTGTCTAAGTTTAAAGACGGTCTTTGGTGTTGGATTTCGATGACTGAGACGGAAGCTCCAAAGCTTGTAGTAGCCTGTAGTGAACGTTGGAACTTAGAAAATTTGTTGTATACAGTCGTCCTCAAATTTATTCATACAATTACATTAAAGAAAAGGCAAAATTCACAATAGTCACTCAAATAACTAGAAACTGAAAAAAGCAAGAATAAATATATATATATATATATTGTATTTATTATTACTTTTGTAAATTTCAACTTATTTAAATGACAGCTGTTATTTCCTTCTTTAATGGGAGGGTATGAATACATTTGAGGACGAATGTATACTGTCAAATGTCAAGACATCAGTTTACCATCATAGTAAATGTGCTGTAGGTTCTTTAACAAATGGGAGTTTGGTGTACAAAAGGTTAAATATGTTAATTTGATTGTCACTGTAAAACTTCAAACTTGATTGGAACCCTGACAAACTTGACCAAACTGGCTGACACTAAAAAGGTGGATGACTTCCAGTAGCCTGGAAACCACCCATTTGTTCAGATTCAAGAGTTATCACAAGAACTTCTTGTTTTGTCTTCTTGGAAAATTCAAATGTTGGTTTTACCCCAACTGAGAGGTGATATCAAAGTTTGAATATTACACTAGATTTGACCAAATGTGAAGTGAATCTAAAGTAGTATCCTGTAGATCACTTGGTCAATTCCACTGTTGTAGAAATAAAATTTAAGCACAGCTTGTGGTGTGCAGACATTTTTGGATGCTGACAGTATACTGCTTGACTATGTAAATAAAGATAAATAAAAGTTACAATTACTGTCAAAAAAAAAACAAACAAAAAAAAAAAAAACACAAAAAGGTATATTGATTAAATTAAACACTCTATACAGAAAGAACTGAAAGAATACTTCAATGAGCGCAAATCTTCCCTTTAAAAATCATAAAGGCATGAGTCCAAAATGCTGTCATTATCAAGAAATATCCTAAAATGTCTCTTTGTTCCACTGGTCTAAAGTGCTTGTAAGGGCAGCTGGCTGAATGTTATTCCTGTCATTTTCAACCTTAAAGTAATAAGCAGTGAGAACTCTTGCTGAACTGATATTAAGTGTTTTAAAATGCATATGCTCTCCAACAGAGTACTGTGTTGGAGATTACTGTTGCTTGCAATTCTCCTTTTTCTCTTTGGGTTTACTTCGTCCTGATTTGTCAGCATGCCGTTTTGTTGGTGGGATAAAAGCAGGCTCCTCGAGGAAATCATGTACGCAAGAATGCGACACGGGAAGTGACTGAGATGAGGGACCTACAATAGAAAAAAGGTTGTGAGTGTCTAGTTATTGTTTAAACAGTTTCATTTTGACTGTCATTTTTCCTGTTTATAGTACCTGTTTGTCCCACTCGGAGGCTGTCTGTGCCTTGTCTCCTGGCTTGGAAGGTCGGGTCCAACTCCTCTGCGATGTTTCTGATCTGCTGGGCTTGTCTGTTAAATGCAGTGGTTGTAAGTCAGCATACACACTACATGCAGGACAGATGGGAATAATGTGGAATCAGTTTTTATTACGGTAGAGTGGAGATGGGGCTGGGTGGCTGGTTGTCCGGGGAACAATCTTCTGTAGGGGAAGGAAGGCCCTCTGAGTCAAGTCTTTCTCGTTGGACCTGAGGGAGTGGACAAAGGAGCGTGACTCACTTCATCATCACCACTCATTTCTGAGCTGACACAACCGTCACCACTGGCCACAATGACGTGCAGTGTTTTTTAGAATCTTTACAACACATGTACCTGTCTCTCTCTTGCAGCTCGTCTGTCATGGTGACTGATCATCGCTCGGTGCTCGCGCCACGATGCTGGCCCTTCGAGCTCACGAGATCTACGCTTGGACTTAATTTCCTGCTTCTGCATAAAATGTGCAATTTCCTAGTGAGAGAACACAGCCAGATATCATTGCCCCAGTTGATCATAAACATGGGATTGTTGGATTGTGACAACAGCTCATCCTCGTACCTCATCTTGCGCCACTTGTGCTACTCTGAAGTCTCCTTCTGGATAAACACATGGAGAGGGCTGGCCGTTCTGTGGGAACAAGACAGTGAATGTAACAAAAATAAATAAATAAACTATGAAAAAGACACTAAACGTTTGTTCTTTTGCTAGCCTCCTTGGATCGCTTACCCTCCTCAACAGCTTCTCCTCTTCCTCCTGCAGCTTGCGGGCCAGCTCTTCATCTTGTAAGACCTGTTGCAGATCCCCCAGATCTAGGCTTGTCTCGCTCGGCTCTGGTTGCAGCGATGCTCCTAAGGGTGAAGTTTGACAGTGTCAAATCTAAAGGAACTGAAGCAACTTGTATGACAAAGAGCATAAGTGTTGTAAAAAAAAAAACACAAAAAAAACATGAAGATCAGTGATAAATCACTCAAGTGTAGTGAAAGAGCATGAGAGAAACAAAGGAAGATGCCATTTGGAATTGCACCAAGAGATGAGAAGACAGAGAATGTAAGTCATGTTGCTTTTGAAAGAAACTCCATAGAATTTATTCTCTTAGAGCAGCAAGACTGAAAGACTGATGATACAGAAAAAAGATGAGAATGAAAGAATACAGTGAGGAATATTCAGGACTACTGGAAGAGAAGATATGAAACAAGAAATGTCCCACTTCTGTAAGAGATCAAGTCATTACTGAACCCAGTGTCTAGATTAAACAATGACTGAAGGAAGATGAGAGGGGCAGATGAACACAGAGTTATAGAGCACAGTGTTGGAAGCTTTCCCTCTGCAGATCAGAGCAGGACTGGGTGTTACCTGCTGCCATGTGCATTGACCTATCCCTTGTTGAACCCCTGCTGCTGAAGCTTTGGCTATGCTGCAGGGCTCTTCGACGGGGACGCTCTCCTCTCCTCTGCACCTCCTGCTCCTCCTCTGAGCTTAACCTTTCTTCTGCGGTCTTGTGCCAATGCCTGCGTTCACTTGTTGTCCTCCTGACTCTGCAATCATTTGCACTCCTCTCTCCTCTCTCGTCATTGTTAGTGTGTCTGTGCTCTGTCCACCTTCCACTGTGTCGGCGTTCTTTGTTAGCAAGAAATGGGTCTCTACTACTAATCTCATAAACCTCTCCATTATCGTGGCGCTTGTCTCGGTCTTCTCTGTGATCTCTCCCACCGTTCTCTCGGTATGACAATCTCCTCCTCTCCCTGATATCTCCATGGAAACTGTGCCTGGTGGTGGCAGCTCTCTGGAAGGCTCTCTGATGTGGTTGGGAGTCGCCGTAGGAGACCTCACTCCCATGAAGCACCTGACTGTCTCTGCTTTGAGGCCTTATTTGCAGTGGAGCCCCACTGCTACCAAATCTCACAGGCACACCCCTCTCCCTGAGGACATGGCCCAGCATCTCCCACACTTGGCTGCTTTCACTCTGCTGCCTGTAAGAGCTCCTGGTGCCTTCCTGAAAACGGACGTGTTTGTCAGGGTTGTCCTTGTAGCTCCAGGTCCTTGCTAAGTCTCTGTTGCTGTGCCTACTTCTGTCATGTAACCTGACAGATTCACTCCGACTACATCGCCTTTCTCTAACCTCAACTGACCTAGAGTCTGGATCCAGATCTCTAGTCCTGTGCCAACCCTCATGCTCCTCTCTGTGGTTCCTCTCCTGATCCTGATTCCTCTGTCTCCTCCTCGGTTGTTCACAGTATTCGTAATAGTCCTCATCCCTCTCTTCTCTTTCCTCCTTCCAGCCTCTGAACTCATTTGGGAAGCTGCTGTGAGAGCAAAGACTTCTGTAATTTCTCTCTTGTGGCTGATGTAAAGATGCCCGCTGTCGAGTAGGTGCTGTGTTGAGTCTTTCATTCATTCTCTGGAACCGGGCACAGAGCTCTTCAGAGAAATCTGTGTCTGACTCCTCTGAATTTTCACTCAAAGGCTCTCTCAGTTCACTCCTGATTTGCCTAATGAAATCTGTGTGTCCTTGATTTGACCATGAAGTAGTGTTTTTCTGGGCTGCTACCCCCCTGAGGGAGTCAGTCTGAGGCCCATTTAAGCCTGAGTGGTTATGAGAGGTGGAACACTGCCACCTGGTGGTAGTGGTAGATGAGTACTGCTCCTCCCCTTGGTGAGGGCTGCTGAGTGCATGCTGGTGTGAGGATAGCAGTGGAGGGTCTCTGGTGCTGCCTTTAGTAACGCAAAACATGCAAACAGAAAAGCAGGGTATCTAGGTGAGTCTGTTAGTGGGTACTGTTAGACAAGTGCAGTTAATGATGAGTTAAAACATAACATTAAAAATAGCTCAATGTCACTTGGGTAAGAGCACTTATCAGACAACTTATATAAATCTTTGAGACACAGCTAACACATTCCAATACATTTTGAGATTGGAAGTACGCCCGACAAATGTACAGTCATGCACGAAGGACGACAGAAACGAAAACAGGTTATGCATTTAATTCATTCAGAACAAAACATGGCACGGAGATGATGACAGTGTAATACCTATGTCGGACATGTTTTGTTCATGCTCTTGTCACATCTGTGGAGAATGACTTAAATACAGCAGCAGTAAGTAGCAGCAGCAGAGTAAAGCATGTTTAGTGAGAGGCTAAGTCAGACCTAGGCGTCCTACTGATGTGTAGCAAACATACACATACTATACATTTGGATAAATATATCTTAAAATATCTTGGAAAATTATCTTTTATTTATTTATTTATTTATTTATTTTTAAATATTTCTGCAATATGTTAGAGGATACACTCAAAAGCATATACACAATGATATGCTTAAACTGTACCTTCACTGTGGCCCTCCAGCCCCCTGCTCCTCCTCCTGACCCTCTGCTCCTCTTCTTCCTGCATCCGCTTGGCTATTTCCTGTGAAAACATGGCCCGTACAGATTATTTATTTGTGTATTTAATCAAAAGCAGCAACACAATATGATTGTCAGTTAAATGAAGATGAATGAAGCAAAATTGACTTCTTTCATCAAATAAACAAAGTAACAAAGTTGCATGTCTAGCTCCCATTGTAGGCTCTGAGAGGAAGCATCAATAACATCTGAGCTACTTCTTAGAACACCAATTCAGCAAAATCTGTAAATAGAGAGACAATCTCTCATTGGGGTCAGTCTGTGTCATTTTGTTCAGGGTTTACTGGGACCCAAAACTAATTTCTGTAAAATATTCTGTTACTATTTTGAAAATGATTACTCGTATTGTTTTCTTTAGTTGCTTTCAGTACAGCATTAATATCCTGTTTCCCTTGTCTTGTTGTTATAGCACATGCCATCAGTAAACAAGAGATTTATTGCGATGTGTGTTAAAATATCACCAGTTTCTCTGTTCAGTGCTCATTTCAAGTATATAGGAACATTCAGTAAAACAAAATAAGCCTCTTATGTTGTTAGATTGCACCATGAATACAACATAGAAGAAACTTGTAACTTTGCTAATATAATGACAATATAAAGTACCCCATGTAGAGCAGCTTTTGTGATCCTACGAATAATTTCACATCACCACTTTGGCATACCAAAATGGCAAAAAAAAACGTTTTGTACAGATATTCGAGGCCTTAAAAGAAATGTCAACCAAAGACTGTATTTTTAATAGGAAACATAGATACGTCCCCATATGTTCACTTTCTACGGCCCAATTACCACCCTTGTTTGAAAATTATGTACTTCTTTCAATTTTCAGTGGCCAATAATTAAAATTTTGGACTCTGCTCGAGCCATTTAATCATTTACATCTGCTGAAAACAATTTTTTCTGCGTCCTCAACAAACTTCATGGCTGCAGGAGTCACATTTGTGGTTAGATGCTAAACCCTTAAAATGCTCCCCCTCCCACGGTAAGATTGAATTACAAAAATTCCCAGATCTGAGAACAGAGAAAATTGTCAAAATTCAGCCACAACATTTCAGAGACCTTAGTTTAGGGTCCAAAAAATAAGTAAGTATTCTTCAAACAAAATCAGAAATGGAGGAGCAACACTGTTATCTGGAAAAAAAAGTTTGACATTTTTCTAACAACAAAATCAATAATGAAATGTCCTGATAACATCATTCCATATTCAAAAGCAATAAAAAAAAAAATGTCAATACAAGATCCACTCACTGCAAACAGACAGATTATAGTACTGGTACACAAACATGAGATGACATGACTTCGAAAATGAGACACTATTCATGCTGTATTTCAGCCAACAGATGGCAGCATAACACAGACTGTGTAACAAGAAAGTCCCCCAACATCTGTCTGCCTTGCGATTTTAAAACCACACAGAAAACAAAATATTTTTTCTTTGGATAAATGTGTGAGATTTAATTTGCCATATCAATGAGTTTTGCTTATGTGTTCACTTTAATGTGCAAAATGATCTTTTCTTATATTGTAGATTCTGCTTAATTCATTTACTCTCACACCACATTGCCTTAAAACTACTCAGCTCTTTTGATCGGAAGCGACAACAAAAATACTGAAAATTAAGAGCGACAACTCAACACAAAGCCAGCTGTAGGTGGCCAGTCCAACTCTATGAGTCAGAGCTGTGACTGACCCAATGGAAACGAGGAGCCCACATGAAGGACAAACAAACTTTTCATGTCCTTCATGCTGAACTAACAGAAGCAGGTCAACAGGACTGTTTCACTTGAAGTAACACCTTGTCACTGGGGAATGCTTGCTCTCACCACAGCAGCTGTACGCCTCTGCTCTCTGAAGGAGGTCTCAGCATCACATCTACTTTTTCTGGAAAGACATGAACTAATTCTGTTCTTGGCAAATCAGCAAATTCTTCCAGTAAATTCTATGAAATCTGTCTCTGTAGGCTGCATTTGCCACATAAATCCTAACTAAAAGCAAGCACAGCTCCTTTTGCCTTGCAACCGGGACGTGTGTGCGTGAGCCACTTTGCCAGCATCAGCAGACAATTAGCAGCTTGCCGTGGCAGGTTAGGTGTGTAGTGCCACAGGGATCTGGCATTTAAAACTGCACAGCCCCACACCTTCTGTTCCTTAATTAAAGACACAATCTACAGGGAGGCAAATATTTAATCAACACCTCTGATCATCCAGTCAATAAAGAAGGTAGGCTAACAGGTGTTTTAATAGTTCATCATTTGATCCTAACATAAACACTAAGAAAAAGAAATTATTGCATACCCAGTAGGTAAAAGTCAGGCTTTAACATTTAACTCTGAGTGCAGAAGTTCAAACAGTTCAAAGCCAACCCCTGTAACAGTGATGAATGACCCTCACATTCCCTCTGACCTCATACCCTCCAAACAAGGAGCTTTTATAGGCAGCCTCGTCTAAAAAGGAAACTGTGGCGTAAAGAAAAATATTGCACTGAATTGGCCTGGTGACAAAGACTGCAGGACCAGCCGGGGAGTTTTGTGGCAGCACTGGCTTTTTCCAACCACAATGGTCCTCTTTTTCTTATACAGCCAAACTTTTCAGTCAGGTAATATTATTGCAAAGTAACTCGTGTAAAGATGCACTGCGATGATAGTTTCTGAGGGGTTGTCCTTCTGTGTGAACATGGAAACAAGGCACAGATGATTGATGGGAACCATCTGGGTGCCCTGTTATGTTTGGCCTCCAGGATGAAGTTGTTTTTTTTTGTATTTGAAACATTTTTGAGAGATCCCGTGCTGTACCACAAATAAGGAGTAAATATTTGGAAAACAAAAACATCAAAAAACTAACTAACTTTTACTGATACTTATAGTTGGATTCCGAACCAGGTGGTAAAAAAACTAAACTTGGGTTTAAACAGTAGATTCTACACTTGCAGCTCTGTGAGGCTGTACTTAAGCAGAGGGGTAGTTTTAGCTAAATGCTAACATCAGCAGGCGAACATAATGATTAGTACGTTCAGACAAAACAGAAAGGATCATAGGATTTGAAACTTTCCGACAGTCCTCAAACTAATCATGTGCGACGTGGCTTCTATCAAAAACTTAACCAAACCTAGGCTTAAAAACTGTGACATTGTTTTTTTTTAGAATTGCTTCATTCTACAAGTCTCAAAAATAAACCTCGAGCACTAATTAGATTCTGTAAAAAACAACAACAAAAAAAACGCAACTTTGAAGTCATGAGTGACCCAGCTGCAAACAACAGTCACATGATCAAAATTTAAAGACCATTCTGCTGAAGTGGGCTGAATGGAAGGCTGGATTTACACAGATACAAGAAAAGTTTGGAAGCAAACTAAAAATGCAAATCATAAAATATCTACAGCATACAGAGTCACACTACAATGTGTCAATATTGGTCACACTTGAGGGCACTTGGAAAAATGTTGTCCATGTTGATTCTGATTATTTTTCATTTTTTTAACATTAAAAACCCCAAGGAAGTCTTTTGTTTGTCTAATTCTGTTCTAGACATGGTTCTGTTTCCATCGAAGTGAGGGACTTTATATTGCAGTGAAAAATGAGCCTACAGTGAGTAAAGAACAGTGAGCCAAAAAAATGCTAGAGGTTCAGAGGGTTAATAGAAAGGCCAGCCAAACTAAGGCTGAGTCACATTCTTGATTAAAGACTGCTCACGATAGTTTTCGCTTAATGTGCCTCTTCCTCAAACTGCAGTTAACGTTTTCAAGAGTGCACATCCCTTGAGACAAGATATGCACATATAAGTGAATTAAACTGAAGAAGAAGCTGATGGTTCATGTCTGGAACCAACAACCGGAGAAACTGCTTGATGGGCAGCTGACAGGTTGCGTCTCTGTTTATGGTTTCGCTGACTTTGCTCATACGGCGCTCTTATGGCACAGTGGATACATCAGAGGCCCAGAGCAGCACTTCACTGCATCTGCCATTCATTATTGACTTGGTTAGTCCTAAGAGAGAGCAAAGCGAACCAGATGATAGTCCCTGACCAGCTGGTAACAGGCTGATAATTAAATGATATACAAGTATGTACTTGGAGTAATGTAAGTCCCTGTGCTAAATGGGATTTCACTAACTTGAAAGACAATGTTTGAGCTATCCCAAGCATGTGATAACTGCAATGATTAATCTGCATTTAACTATTTTTTTTTAGCTGTCATTTTGTCTATCCTAATTTTAATCTTTAGTCTTGTAATTTAATTTTCTCTGAACCACCATAAGATGTCACCAGGTTTTCAGATACTTTGATTTGTGTGTCAAATCCTGTGTCATCCTGTCTGACACTTGTAACGCTGCTGTCCTGCCCAGGTTCGCCTTGCAAAATAGGCTGTTAATCTCATTTGGACATACCTGGTTAGATAAAGGTTTAAAAAAAAAAATCTTTCAAAGGTCCATGAGGGCTGAGCATCACTTTAAGTTTTATGTGCACCAAAGTTAATCTTGTTCATACTGTGTCTTGTTCTGCTCTGGTTACTGCCAGCAACTTGACACCCACAGGAAAGGATTTGTTCCTCTTTCAGGAGCAAATCCCCCAAAATATTTCACTTTACAAACTTTGCTGTCAAGGTTGTGTCATGTTATTATCAGAGAGAGCATTCAGTTCTAAGCTAAGCCCAATACCATGAAGCCTTTAAATTAAAAATGACAAAAACAAGTGACTGTTATAGAAATACTGATTTTCAGCCGTGCATCAGTCATGAGCATGTCTTAGTTTCCACAATATTCTAAGTAAAGTTTTGTTTTCCTTTCTCAAATGCACACTAAGCACTACACTGATAGTTTGAGTCCACCAATCACAGATTTTCCATCCACAGCTTTTCTTCCCACAAGTTTGGTGAACCGAGAACAAGCTCAAACTGACCTGTCCAAGCAGTTTCACCACATTTGGTTCAATGAATGTTGGCTTGAATTCAAACTGCTTTGTTAGCCTGAAACATGTTAGATCACTGAATATGTCCAGCAAAGGTGCTAAAATTAGATAGCAAGCATCGCTATTATAGGGCATGTTAGATTTTTCAACTGAACCCTCTCATTCATATCAAAGTACTATTTAACTGTTGAGCACTGTAAAAGAAGATTGAATGCATAGTGGATTTGCAGTATTTATGCACAACCTGGGAATAAAAACTGAGAAGAGAAGCGAGTAAACGTTCACCTCATCATCCAGCTCTCTCCTCTGGGTCTCTTCGGCGCATCGCTGGAGCTCTTCCTGAATCACACGGGCGTACTCAAAGTCCTGCTCCTCTCTGCAGAGCAGTCAGGCAAGAAAATCTTACACTTCTGACTTAATGACAACAATCAACACAAGACGCAGCGCTGTAAATGAAAATTTTAAAAATGCATAACAAATCTACATTCAGCACTTTAGGTTACATGCAGGACATGAGGGTTTGCAGGGATGTGTGAAACGTGTGAACTGTATTTTGGGGAGTAAAGTTCACCAACAGTTGTCTGGAGGCTTGTCTGAAGAGAGCACTCTGCTGGGCCCGCTGTTCCTCCTCCTCATCCTGCAGCTTCTTTGCTACACGGATGTCATTCTGCACGAGCTGATTCTTCTGGATATTGGTGGTATAGTATTGCTCGACTATGGAGGAAAGGCAGAGAAAGAGGCAGAGGGTAAGCTGTGGAGCAATGAAGAATCATGTCTGATCTACTACATCTTTTACAGCAAATAGTAATCATGTGTTACTTTTTTTTTTTTTTTTTTTAAATGTTACTTTTTTTGCCTTTAATCCAGAGGTTAGTGAAGAGAGACAGGACATGCAACAAATCAGCCATGGGTCAGACTCAATCAATGGCTGCTGCTGTGTTGAGGACTTTCAGCCCCTACACATGGATCATCCACTCAACCTATTGAGCTACCAGGGCACCCAAATGTGTTACTATTAAGCTGTTCATTACTGCTGTGTTGTTTATTTATTTGTGCCATGCCAGCTCTTGAGCATTCTTCTGAGGAATCCTGAAGTCAGATTTAAAATTATATGACACTTTGTGTTATGGCTACATGATAATGGCCAAACTCCAATTTACAACAAATACATCCAACACCTGTGCTGCCTAATGAAATCTGATACAACAGCTTTGCCATAATTTCTACTCATTTTCAGTTTTTGTTGATATTGCTGGAGAGATGATAATTCTACTTCATATTTATTACTGAAACTGTCATAAATGGTAGTAGACAGCATTATATTGAAGAACGTTCCTAATATTTGGTCCACTCTATTAAGACCCCTGTTCTACTAGTTTGTATAAGCCTTTCAAATGGAGTGCTTTATGAGTGTATAGTATAATTCTCAGCTGAATTCTTCAAGATGAGTGAAGGTAAATCCATCCACACAAAAGCGGAGCTTCAGATTGAGAGTGAATGTAGCACAGATCCTATAATATAAATTAGTACACTTGTGAGTAGTATGCAGCTTTCACATAGTAACTTTGCACTTACTCTCCTGTTCCTGTAGGTTGTGTGCCAACGCTCCATCCTCTAGCACAGCAAAACACTGGCACACTGAAACAATAGACGGCAGCAACATTTCAGTATCACACAAGCAGTTACAAAGTGTTTAAAAAAATAAATGGAGAGGGGATACAAGAGTGTTTCATAAAATCTCAGAGCTTGGTGATAACTAAAACAACAGAAAATGACAAAAGTGAGCCTTTGGATGAACTGTGGTCCAACACCCTGTCTAATTGAAAACAATAGGACACAAGCACTGTGTGTTATGATGGCTGTTTATATGACACAGACAAAGGCAGAGGAGTGCCCCTTAAAACATTAGAAAAAAGAAACCATCCACCACGCTGGCACGAATTCACTGTAAAGCACATAAAAGGGTCCTGTAAAGTCTTCATCATAACAGGGCACCAGTGTTTTGGAGCAACGTGCAAGTGGACAAAATTAGCAGTTCTCCTAAAGTCGCTGAGTTCAAGAGCAGAGCAGCAAGTTCAGCTCCAAAAGCAACAATATGACATGCTCTATTTGTGTGTGTGCGCATGAGCAGCACTTCAACAGTATAACAGCAGCCTAAGTGAGACAATCTTTACTTTTTGTCGAAATTACCTTAAAAGGAAAATGGATGTTTTTCTTTTACGAATGTGCTCACTATGACTACCAAATGAGCATGCAAAGTTAAGGAACTACCACCTGCTAACATTTATACTGGGAGGTTAGTACAGATTGTAGAGTGATATCTGTAAAGCTGTCTTAAATCCAGCGGTTTTAACTACCAGATCTCTGTATACCAACTCTGTCTGGTTGCCCATATCAAGTCACTCCGTGGCAAACTCTTGAACTAAGTGTTTCCTATCCCATGATCCCATAGTCTGGTCACCTGCTGACAGATACGGCAATAAAACATATCAGTTTCATGCCATTAACACTCCCTGAGTCTTGTCTGTTTTTCCCAGATAACCGAAAAGGCAAGAATTTAAATATAGACACAAGAATTTCATAATAAGAAATGAGAAATAATAAGAAATAATTATGCAACTATGCAAAAAGGTTTTCACAAATGAGGAAAGTCAAACAAAGAGATAGAGTACATAAAAAAAAGTTTTCACCCTCCTTGGAAGTGTTCCTCTTTTATTGGTTTTCAACATTAAATCGTAGTCAATTTAATTTAGCATTTGTGACAAGACCAAGGAAGAAAGAGACTAGTGAGGGAGGCCACCAAGACACCGATGACTACTCTGATGGAGTTACAAGCTTTAGCAGCTGACATGGGAGTGGCTGTGCATCCAACTGTACAACTACTGCGTGTTCTTCACCAGTCAAAGCTTTATGGAAGAGTGACAAAGAAAGAGCTGCCATTAAAAAAAGCTGATATCAAATCTCAGCTAGAGTTCACCAGAAGGCATGTGGGACACTCTAAAGTCAACTAAAAGAAGGTCCTTTGGTCTGGTGAGATGATAATTGAGCTTTTTGGCCATCAAATGAGATGCTACGTTTGCCAGACAACAAACACTGCTCATTATCACAAACACACCATCCCCAAAGTGAAGCATGGTGGTGGCAGCATTATGATGTAGGGCTGCCTCTCACTGCCAAATCGCACTCAAAATGCATCTACTAAACACTGACATGAAAAAGTTAATACTTTACTATTATACAATTACTTAATTATTGCCTTCTGTTTTTAATTATTTAACACTACTTCGTAAAAATCCACTTTGACATGATGAAGTCTTTACTGTAAATACTTTGTCAAAAAAAAGCCAAAAAAATTAATCATGATTCATGTTGAAAAGCAATCAAAGGGAAAACTTCCAAGGGGTCCCAATACTTTACAGATGCACTGTAGTCAACAAGAGAGACAGTTAAATTCTGTTTTGACTTGGAAACAATTTAAAACTTAAATCATAAGGTGGTAAACGCGTACAGTTTGCTTTTAATCTGAACATTAATCTTAATAGCTCCAGCATCTGTGTGCTGTTACCGTAATCTATAAACATGTCAAGTGTTTACAGTAGTCCTTAATGAAGCACAATAGCCTGTGTGTGCTGCAGCCCATGTGTGTTTAAAGGTCTGTCAAACAAACTCAAAAGTTACTCAAGAGAAAATAAACACAGACAGACAGCTCCACTATGGCATAGATGTTCTCTCCACTTCCTCAATTTTCGAAGCCACATGGCCCACAGTGACCACACGAAAACTGCTTAGCTATCTAACTGGTCTTCAACAGGGAACCCAGAATGGCTGCCTTTTCCTACAATGGAGGCTTTGAAATGCCAAGAGAGGGATCGAGGACAGTGTTTAAGGAGAGATTTAGCTCACTCCTGGAAAGCCTACATGTTGAGCCAGAGGCAAAGCCAATTAAAAACACCTGTCTTTCTGCTAATCCCCCTGCTGAGCCTATCAGAGCAGGCTGGGTCGTGTCCGGGGAGACAATGGCCACATTCACATCCATACACCTAATGCTCGGGATACTCAAGTATTACGCTTATGAGCTGGACTGACACGTATGCAATACGTTCTTTATAATGACTTATTAAGCTCTGAACCAGTAAAAACAAAACAAAACAAAAAAACCCTACATTTTGCACAACTAAAACACTATAATTATTTTAAATGCTGAAACCATAAACAAACAGAGAATATTTCTTCATTATCAAGAACATTGTCATTACCCATCAGTGGCCACTTTATTTGGTACATCTGTCCAAGCTCAAGCATTCCAATATAACTGTTCTGTAATAACATCTACTTTTATGAGACTTCATAAATGTATTGATGATTTACAGGTATATTTCGGAAACTAGGTAACAGTTGCTGTTGTACTGCACTGTGTAATATTCAGAGATACTTGTTTATATGCGACTATAAAGAACAAAAAATTAGTGACACCAGACAATGTGTGATTTAGTCCAGCACACCACCTTTAACTGTGACCCCAATATTAAACCTGTAATTGAATGTACACATTTTCAACTGGCACAACTGTTCTCAGTTTGTTTTTTGCTTAAGGCTTCAATTGTGCCTTTTCATTTAATTTGCAAAAAAAAAGGTTCAGAACAGAAACCAGGACGTTCACTTACTAGCTGGAGATGCACTGGATGGTGCCACGAATGATGAAAACAAATGGGAAGCCTCAAAATTTATTGTAAGAGTTATATATTGAGCTTATAGTCTGCAGTACAGCTGTGACTATCTGTGTAGCAAAGTGAAAACTAAATAAAACAGGCCAGGCCTGAAGTATGCTTGTCTGTGTTTGTGTTTCTGCTAAGTGTTTGTCTTAAAAATAACCTGGGGTGTTTCTAGACTCAACATGTATTGATAACTATGTTGCTACGGTTTTTAGGTTCACGTACTATATAGTACATTCCACTTTCATTTTCCTGCATCTTATCCTACTCTAATCATGTTGATATTAATATTTAACTGTGACAAAAAAATAAAAATAGAAAATAAAAAATAGGATGTAGAACTGATTCTAAGGTTATGTAAGTCAGTCAAACTGAGGCTGTATTCTCTTGGTCCCAGTCTGCAAATGGGGAAGTGAAAAAGCTACTAAAAAAACTTGCTGTGGTGAAATTGTAAAATGCTTTTCTCTAAATCCTATAAATATAAAAAAAAAGATTGCTGGGGGAAGTATGTTTCAATCTACACAGACTCAACTGTCAAAGCTCATGGAAATCACTCAGACAGCACTAAGCCCCCAAAGGGTCTGTTTACACCATAAATGACCCCATAAGTCTACGCTGAGAGTTAACCTATACCAAAACAGACATGCATTACCATTTACACCTGTTGGGGAGCTTAAGAGACTATCCGCTAAATGGATCTCCAACCTGTCCTTATGGGTCCAGTCTGTCAATGAGAAGGGATTAAGTCAAAGGCTTGGTTTCACCCAACAGGACAAATTGACAGCTCAAAACAATTTACTTCTAAGTACAACGCAGACAGAAGGAATGAGGGAAAGATGGAAGAAATGACAGTCTGGTGTGAGTGTGCATGTGTGGGTGTGTCTGCATTGTGGGTTAACTTGTTTTTCCAAACTCCTTTAAAGTACGGTCACGTTACTCTTGTAGGGGAGGGACAAGGAGACCGTGTTATTACGACTGCTAAACAGGTTTTGAGAGACAGGGTGTGAGGCAGTCACAGCCAACAGTAAAAACATATGTCCAGTGTGAATCCAGGCACTCGTCCTGTAAGCTTCTTAATGAGGGACTCTAATAGGCCTGTGTCTGTTTCCTAAGAGGATAGTAAATCAAAGATCCAGCAAACAACAGAAACTGGCTGCGGCTCTGGAAAACTAGAGTCTAACAGGGGCAACACTGCAGACCGTAAAATACTAGCCGGCACGAACGTATAGCATTATGTTTTCCACCAGTTTGTGCAGACTGTTTGTACAGTTAGACTAGGAAAGATGGATTTTGCAGTACAGGACACTATAACCTGTATGACCTTAAAGACAAACTAGTCAAAAGAAAGTTTTTCCTTACAAATATTCCTCATTACTGTTAATCAAACACAAAATAACGTCATGTATGACTGCCCCCCCCCCTTTTTTTTTTTTTTTACTGCTGTAACACAGTTTCGTAGGTAAAAATGCTTCCTTTGTCTTTTTAGTGCAACAGCTGAAAAACTCCCACCAAAATTAGAGAATTGACAGCCAATCATCTAAGACAGAATTATGCAGATTATGTCAGGCATCCAGCACAAGGGAGCAGCCGATCAAACACACTCCGAGATGTTTCTCTTTCATCTTCGCTGTTACTTGGATAGCAGCAGTGGCAAGTGCCTGCCAAACAAAGAAACTGGCGAAAGGAGAAAATGACAAGGGTTCTATTTTCAGCCAAAATCCCCCACCGGCCGCCCACACGCTCTCTCCCTCTCTCTTCAGTTCTCTTCTCTTCCTTGCTGCTTTTTTGCGCAAAATTTCAACCATGAAGTGCCTGTCCATCCCACGGCTCTCTCTGTTGTGTTAGAAATTCAGTGCAACTTGGGCCAACCAGCTCGTGAACTAGAACCCAGGTTGTCATGGAAAACAAAGAGAGGTGAGGGGTAATGGGACACTGGGTCAGTTGGTGAGAGTGAAATTAGGAACGAGGGGGAGGTGGGGAAATTCCTCTGGGAGCTGCATTCCCTCAGCACATCAGGCTAAATCGGGAGCAGCCAGAGGAGGGACAAAACAGGAACTGATAAGGGGGGGCAGTGAAAACAAAGAACGCTAACTTGGCCAAGACTTGCGGATGGTGAGGAAAGTGAAGGTGAGGAAGGACAAGGGGAACTCTGGCTGGAGGGAAATTGAAGCATAAACACACACAATAGGACTTTAAGTAAGTGACCCCAGTGCCATGGAGTGGGACAACGGTCCAGTTTGACAAATCTGTCTAACCGAAAAAAAAATTACACTGACCAGACAGCTGATTTACATACTACTATTGTCTTATTGACACGTTTATGGATGCTATTACTGGCTTTGTTTGTGCGCTGGGCCCTGCTCAATAAAGCATGAAAATGCAAAGCTGCACAGTGTGCCCTTTGTGTGTGGAAACAAGAGTGGAGTGCTGAATTATCTCCCTTGATAAAAGACATGCAGACCTATTTCTTTCTCATTCATTAGCATGGACATGCCAAAGACTGAGCCAACGGTCCACATCCAGGCCATGGTTTAGAAATTCCTAGTCTGTGAATGTTTATATACTTAAATTCAAGCAAATGGAACTGAAACAGAAGTGCACATTTATAGCAATGAGACAATATTGTCGCTTTGCATTCCTCCTGTAAAGCTGCATTTGTTCGGGCAGCAGGATTCTTGCAAGTTTATCTGAGGGTATATTTCATGCTAATTCTTACTTATTCTTGCTGCATACGCTGGACAGTAAATTCCTATTTGTAGTCTACGGTCCAGCGACAAAACATGCTTACATGATTACTCAGAAGGACTTTTTGAGAAACTAAACTGATATTAGACTGTTTTTTCAATCAGGTTTTGGAGCTGTATATTTGCCCTGGTCATTTTTTCCATTGCAAATGAGAATACATACAATTTATGCATTTACCCAGTTTATTAGAAACACCTTGCTAAAACTAATCCACCCATATACAGCACTACATCTTACTCTCATTAAGGTTTAAAGTGCTTTAGTGTTGATTCAACTCTTTGTGGTTGTGTTGAACTGTACACATTATGCTCACAGTTATACCTCAGTACTAATATATATAGAATAAACTAGCTTTGGACCACTCCATCTGTATCAGTGAGGGTAAGCGAAAAAAAAAAAAAAAAAACACCTCTAACAGATTTTGCAGCACAAGCCATAATCTGTATCATTTTCTTTCCCTAGAAATCATGTATCGAAAGCAGCTATTCTTTGCTCTTATCTGCACACTGGTTCTGTCGATGAAGTGATGCATCTCTGTGCAGCTGTTTGACTAAACCTGTGCGCAGAAAATTCCCTCCCACTCCCACTTTCTTTTACCTGGCATGACCTCTTCCTGAATGCATAGAACCATAGAATCTACATAGAAAGCCAGATTAGTGAAGCTTCTTTGAATAAACAAAGCTAGCTGGCCTCATGTGGATACCTCATCCTTCAAGATAGCTTTGTTTGACAGTGTGAAAAACAGCAGTACATTTCTGTCTTTAACAGCTTTGTTGTATACACTGAGTTTCAGTTATGGTGAAGTTATTATTTCATCAGTACATCTGGACAATAACTGTGACAGCTAACCCTACTGAGCCCCTCAGGTTCTGCTCATCTGACCTAGTAGAGAAACCACTGTGTTGACAGATATTTCTGTCTATCCTCAGAATAACAGATTTCAGCGTGACTCTACATCATCAGCTGCATGGAGTCAAAACATGTATCAAGCCTCCTCTTATCAGATGTGAGCACAGAGCGGCGATGCCAGTTATTTGTAGCACAAAAAACAGGCAACGGGAAGCTGTCTTGTTTTTTTTCCCCCCAGTCTCAAGCAGACGGGCACACGAGAGCGTCCTTAGCGTCCACTGTGCCGAGGAGTCCATGAAAATACTGAGTCCCTGCTGTCTGCAGTCCAGTAGCTGACCCTGATCTCTGACCTGCCTGTGGAGGGTCTCGACAAAAACAGCTTTTCTCCAGTGCAGACCACGAACAGTGGCGCATTCTGTACATACTTGTTCTGTACTCTTGTGGTCTGAACTTTGCAGTAGTATGGTGTGCATGCATGTGAGAGTGAGTATTCACCTTCTTGGACACGTGGAAGGTTGGACTGGTCGATCTCCAGCTCTGCCATCGCTGCCCATGTGCTGTCACTGCCTCATGGTGACACAGAAGACCCTGAAACAAGAAGGGGATTGTTGTAAGTTAGCATCTGCTATAATTAGGTGTTTCCAAGAGGCAATAAAGAACAAACTAGAAGAGACTTGTTATCTCTCCAATTCTTTTCACACTGTGACAAACATTCATCATGCATGTGATTCATTTATGTGCATTATCAACTAGTAATGTCATTTACTAGTGTGCAATGCCATATTTTAGGTTATTATAAACCAGACTGGTGCAATTGTATGCAAACGTCTCATGTTACATTTAGGGTCTCATCTCTGCAGTCAGCTTTACATTTACTATTACATTTCTTATATTTTTCTTCACAGCAAGAGAAGTAGCACTCGACAACAAAGCTTACAATGACAATAAAAGCTTCCTGATTGTGATTAGAGCTCAAACCTTAAGGTAACATTAGGTGAACATTTGAGGTAAGCAGGTGACTGGTTGGAAGAAGCTCCCCAGGAGCTGAAACCAACAGCAGGAACCACGAACACTGCTGCTAACATCATTAACCAGGTGTAAAGTCAACAGGCCACCGGTCGAAGTAAAAAATAAACAAAACAAACAACATACCTGTTCCCAGCTTGCTGCCCACACAGGCTGCAGTGTTGCTCCTATTCAACAAGTAGCAACATGACAGTAGCTCAGTGTCAACTTCGGAGTCGCACTTTCCCTCCGTCCGTCGGTCTCTACTGTGTCGCTCCAAAAAAAAATGTCACCGACGCGTTTTTGTTTTTGCTTTTTGTTTTTTTTCTTTCAACGGCTGAGTTTTGAAGCGGCGATACTTGTTCACCACAGACACAAAAGAGCCGTCGAGTCGTGATGGGAAGCCAGGGCGGACAAACTTCAGCCCCGCAGCCCGCCGCTCTGCTTCTTCTTCACGGCTCCTGTTCGGCGGCGGCGGCGGCGGGGGCGGACCAGGGCTGCTGCTGCCTTCAGGTGCGCACTGGAGCTCAGACCGCCTCAAAGTTTCAACGTGAGCCACGACAATAAAGACGAATAAATTAAAACGTTTTATTGTCCGTTTCGTTCAACGCACTCAAGATAACAGATAATGTCCCTTACAGGTACAAGAACGGCGTAAAGAAATGCTGGGAATAAAGTTAATCATCAGCTCGGGCCAAAAGATTACTCGGATTGTAATTTAAGAAGCGCAACGACACTCGTGGTTATAAAGTTAGCCTTTGATCTTCATTACACCACATATCACCACACCTCCACACCTACTTCAGGCCTAAGCAACAATACTCACACGTGTTCAATGAATTAGATGTTAATTTCCGACAGGTCCTGAAAGCAGCACTTAACCAGCCAAATGTTCCAGTCACTCAACTTTCCAAAATAGAAGTGAAACAAGCTACAGTTTACAATTCAGTCCTTTATTTATTTATTTAGATTTTTGTTTTGTTTTGTTTTTGATTGCTGTGGTTGCTATATAGTATGCTTACTAGTCTAACAACAATGCACAGATCTTAAAGAGTTGCAACTTAGAATTGTGAAAAATTTAGGAAACTCTATTAAGTTTTAAAGCTGATTATGTGCTAAAAAAACAAACAAACAAACAAACATTCCATCCAGTTTCTAGTATTGTGCACAATAACAGCCATTACCGACATGGTCTGCAGTGTGGAGCTAATTGACCTGGGTTATATTGGAACTAGTAATTTATTACAATAAATGAATATAATACTCTCTTGTTCAACAACAAAAAGACAAATCAATCAAAAATGTCAGGCCTACTTTTAGAATTTCCGAGCAGGGCAATCGTGCTTTGAAAGGTTCCTTATAAATGTCACTGACTAAAATTCAGAGGCAATGTTAGGTTTGAAGACTGATAAAGTAATGGAAAAAGAAATGAGCTTGTCTAGTGTTTTTTTTGTGTGTGTGAAAACTATGCAGCTAAGCTCATTTGCTAAAAGTGTATAAAAGTGTGGTAGTCCACAGTTATAGGGGTTTCTTAACGTGTTGTTGCCCTCTGCTGGCTGCATTTGTGTCAGTGACGCAATCACGAGACTGAATATCATCAACAGGTCACAAAAACCTGCCAGGTCACATATTTGAAAGCGATAGTGAATCTTTGTTATACATGATGATACAGTTGGTTGGTGCGATATGTAGTTTCGAGGTGCATGACATGATGGCAGGTATTTTCAGTGATACAGCTGGACAGGCTTAAGGTAAAATCAGAGATTGGTAAATAAGTTAATGTTCCCTCTGAACCATGTCATGTGTGCCTATCAAGCTATTTCAGTGAGGAAGCAAATTAGATTTTCATGAAGGGAACCATCAAATTGCTATTGGACACATTCTGTAAATTTAGATAATAAGATGCATCGAAAGAGCAGCTTCACATCCTTTTTAAGTCTGTCTATAAAAATACCCACATCGTTTTCTCACTGCCCAAGATTAGATTTCATAATTCTGATGTAAGCAAGGGGGGGAAAAATACAGAATATTTGCTTTGTGCAAAAATGGTTTGTGCCTTCCAAACATAGTCTTTTTACTGCAAAATTCCCTGTTTGTGTCTCCCTGGACATTGTCTTCTTACTGAGCTGAGCTGTAAGGGGAGAGCCAAGCCTGTACCATTAGTCCACACAGTATCTACCTGATCTTTCTAGTTCAGACTGCTGAAGCCTTATCGTAGCTTCAGTTGAGCTTTAGCGTACATTTTAACACAAAATAACGGTGGAGTTTGTCCCTCATCACTTGCAGTGGAAGTGGATATGTAGGAATCTCTTCTTGACACAAGAGTAGTGCAACAATCAGGAGCCACAACTGTGCAAGTAAACTTTGTTGAACAAGTGAATACGACACAAAATACAATGCATTACTGCGCATTGCTGCGTGTAACCACTAGGTGAAGTCAGATCGAGCATCATTGTGGCCACATACAGCAATACAATGTTGCTGATATGTTAATGCAGCAGTTCCACATATCCTAAAAGATAGAATTTGTAGTACTTATTTATTCAAATTCACATTTTTGAAAGCAGAGTTTTGTTGGTAATAATATATTTTTCCAATGATAAATTGCAAGTTAACATAACTGAGCTGCTAAATTTAGTTTATGGTGAATATATCTGATGACTCTGCAATAGATGTATGAACCCTGATAGGTGTTGCTTTCCTTTTCTTCTTCTTTGCTCTCTTTTTTTTGAGGGGTTCGCAAACATTGCACTGATTCACATGATGTTGTATGAATCCCAAGAAACGGTACGTGTTCCTGCTAGTTGAAAACACCTGTGCCTTTAAGAAATTCTGTTCCTTGTGAGTTGTGACGAGGACTCCATATACAGTAGGATGAACCTCAAGTACGAGGGAGACATTTATTTTTCATGTTGAAATAACCCGGAATCGGTAATGTGGCCTTGACTAATGCAGAATATAAATTGTAATAGCTTTTCCTGATATACGACGTCACCTAATGGAGTGTCAGGCCCACAAACCATAAAATAAAATGTCATTGTCGCTTCATCTGCCCTCATTATCATATAAGTGACTGAACATTGACGTCACGCTTCTAATAAATATACAAATTACATACAGAGGTGCAAAATGTAACTTTGTAAATAGCTGCCTCCACCTGTCCCCCAGTATCCTGACCACTCAGAAAGCTTTTCTAATGCTGGCCATGCTCATAAACCTGGGTTTTATTGCGTGACTAAGAACAAGTGAAAGCACCAATATAACATCTCACAAGAACCGGGCTTCTAAATAATGTGCATCAGTCAATCTGATTCAGTGACCTGTGGAAAATTTCCTGCTGTCTTAAATTGACTTAAAATGTCAGATGGCTCATAGACTCCAAGGCCTTGAACAGTTTAACATGTGCACTGAACCACTGGTTAAGTAATTATACAGGTTTAATAGGAATTCTCTGACTTTGTACGCCTTGAGTCTTGCACCAAGAGGATTCAAATAGCCCAAGTGTTTAATGAACTAGAGGTATAAAAATATTATTCATTTGTCTGCTCAGTTTCTCCACCTGCTCCCCTGTGGGATGTTGTCGACATGACATCTGAAACACCTGCTTCAATACCATTTACAAAGTCCGTAAAACAGTCAATCAAGCTGAAGAGCTGGTAAAACATGACTGCGCCCTTGAAGCATGGGCCACGGCACTTGTCTTTTTATTGAGTCTATAATTCACCTGTGACTGCTTGTTGATTTATCGCTTAGAAAGGATGGGACTCTGGATATTGCTGATGGCAGTTGTGGCAAGCAAAGGTGTGTGCGTGTGTCTGCTGTGTGGCATGCGAGAGGGGGGGCGGATAGGTTACGGCTTGAAGTATATAACCCAGTTGGGACCAGCAGAGCATGTAGAAGTCTTCTTTTCACCTGAGGACCTCTGTGGAAATCAGAGCCACTTCCAACAACAGCATCCTACAGTGATGAAGTGCAACCATCTCCTCTCCTGGGCCTTTGTGCTTGTGGCCTCTGGCCCACTGCTGGCCCACCCCATTACAGAATCTGCTGAGATACCCTATCCAGGACCCGGTGAGTAGAAAGTAATATCTCCATTATAGCTGTTATGCTCAGTAATTCACTTGCTCAATACCTAGATTAGCATTTTTAGGAATAAATGTAATTTGTGAAGATTAATGGCAGGCCAGTCATATCCCGGGGCCTTGAAGTAATTACTTTGGTGCCGCAGAGTTGAACACTGATTGTTCTGCCAAAGTTCACATGCCAAAGTTCTGCCATCAGAGAACAGATCCAGTTTTTTTTTTTTTGTTCAATTAATTCAAATGCTTTAGTAGTTATAGCGATTGCCAGTGAGAATTAGATTAGAAAATGTCCACATTATGAATCTGTACCTGTCAACGGTCTTTTTATCATCTGTGTGGGGCTGTTTGCTTGTCCTCAGTATCAGTGGAGGACCGAGGGATCGGCTCACTGGATGATCTGTCTCTCTCCGAGCAAACCTTCCCTCCACAGGATGCTGCTGGCCTCAGATATTCCACTCTCATATCTGGGGAGATTAACAGAGATGGTAAGAAACATATGCACACACATACACACCCACACACGGCTCGCTTTTGCATTGTGAAATCATATACAAATTCATACCAGCACATTTTTGACGGTTGCCTACTAAAACAGCCCAATCACTGCCGCTCTTTATTTCTTTAAACTCGCCCTGACATTCACAGAAAATATGACTAATACAACACAGGTTTTCTAAAATATCTGAGTAATTTCATGTTTTACTTCCTCTCAGGTCTCAGAGCAGCAGGTCTGCTTCCGAGGGGGATGAAAAGAGAGGTGGGTTTCTACACAACAACAAAGCAAAACAGCAAAGAAGAGTAAGCTGCACACTGTGAATGATTCACCATGCCGTTCTATCTTGTCTTTCAGGTTCTATTGGAGAAACAAAGTCTCCTAAATCCTTTCAGCCATGTGCTGGGCATCCGGAAACAGTTCAGGAAGAGAGCGGGGAATTCAGAGTGTTTCTGGAAGTACTGTGTCTAAAGCTGTCAACAGGCATTGATGCTACACACGAGAGGCAGACTAAGAGAAAAATCCCCATCTTGAACTCACATGCAGAGTAAACAAACAAGAAACACTGTGCATGCATATATTGTATGTGCACAAAATCCATGCCCAGGTGCATGTACTCACACAGACACATTCACAAACACAAGCGCTGTCAGCATTCATTTTCCAAAAAAGACAATTCTAGAAGTATGATTGAAACTGTTGCATGGGGACTTGATGATTTATTAGGATTTTCTTTTATGCTGTGTGAAACTATGTGCACACATTTTTAAAAGTCCTTGGTTGTCAAATGTATGACCAAATGTCTTTTAGATGTGAAAGGTTATACAGCATTGTATGTTGAATATAAATAATAAAAAAAAACTGTATTATAAATAAATTGTGCCTCTGCTAGTTGTCTTTTCTTGATAAAAGGTGGGAAACTTATTAGCAGAAGAGACCGCTGCACACCCTTTCCTAAAAGTAAAAGAGGAAACAAAAAGACGTTGCAAAGGTGGTTCTCGAGTTTTCTTCATTTTTTCCTTTTTTTATTATTTTACAGCAGAAAGAATATAAAGCATTCAGAAAACATCTTCCATATTTTAAGGGCAATTCAAAACGTTTTGCATGGCTTCAGCAGCTGAAATCTCTTTTTTTTTTTTAAACATATCCATCGAGTCAGTGACGCTTGTACATGCACAATTACAAAAATAAAACTTACAAACAAGAGAAGGGAAGAAAAAGGAGGAAAGCAAAACACATTAGGAGAACCGAGAGGAGATGAAACTTTTAAGGGTAGGGGCTGGGAACGGAGGAAAAATTGGGTCACATAACAGGGAAAGACAGAGAGAAAGACAGCTATAGAGGAGAGGAAAATAGATCTAACACTAGTTCACATGCAAAGTGTCGAGGACCCGTAACTTTCTATCAAAGCAGGGCCTTTTTTTTCTTCTCAGTTTGGAATTGATGAAAACGTGCAGTTCGGTAAAGGGTGCCATATAATTGCTGTCCATAAACTACTGAATGCTTGTCTTGCAATACTGGCATTTGCATAAGAGTAAGTCGACTACAAGTGTCCAATCATTTTAAACTTTGCTAGGTCTATAGGTCTCCACAAAATAGTTCTTTATTGCTCTGTGTCAACAAGTGGAATATACTGTAAAACTGTTTCTGTTCTGTTGTCCTGATGTGCCTACCTTTCCCTGGTTTGGGTGCTTCGGAAAAGGAAGAGGAGGAAAGGCAGATTCTCAGGTCAATTCACAGAACCCTTTTGATAATACTGTATGCTAATAAAGAGTGCCTATCAGCTAACCTGTCATCCCATTCACAAATGGCAGTAAAAACAAGATTTGCAGGTGAACTTTTCATACAACTACACTCTTAATCTTAAATACCCTCTACACTTTGTCACTTAGAGAAATTAAAGGCCTAAAGAACTGGCCAGAATTATACAATGATTTAACAGGTTTCTATGAAAGAACGTCAAATCATTTTTATCTTAATGAGCTATATATAAACAGACTGTTTTCCAGGGCTCCACTAGTGTCTGTAATGTTCAACGTTACTGAGAGGAAATGGATTATACTGTATATTTATTCCTTTTTAAAGATTTCTGGTCAAGATTTTTTTTGCTTTTTTTTACTACAAAGAAGTGATGAAAGGTTTTCCATATTTCAATTTAAGCTTCTTCTGCTGTGAATCACATGTCCTGCTCTGTTTCCTCCTCCCCGTTTTGGCACCCTGAGTAAAATACAGAAGGGAGGTGAACCAGTCCCTCAGTCTGGAAAAGAGCAGTGCTGCCTTCACCACTCAGTGTACAAGTGAAACTGACAACTTGACATGTCTGCATGTGTGCTGTGCGATGTCTTGTGCGTGTGTTTGTGTGTACCGTGTGTCACTTCGTTCGTTTGCTGTATATACCGTCACAATGTCTCCAACCTTGTCCATTTGTCCTATTTGAAGTTGGGAGTACACTGATTGAATCTAAATGAATAATAATAAAAAAATAAAGAAAAATAAAGAAAAATTCTAAAAAGTTAGAACTTGCTCTAAAAAACAATCCTGTCCTCATGCTTTGCCATGAAAACGTCAGCGGCTACTGAGTATTGATCATTGGCTCAATTTGTGGGTCTGCCCTCCGGTCACACGCCCTCTGTCTTTCTGAGTTCTGTGACACGTCAAACCGATGTTCATTGTTTTACAGAACAGTAAGTCTTTTAACAAGTCTATCTGGCTACCGATTCTAGGAAAATAAGCATGCTTTAGGTGCAGTTCTGTCACCCAGTTAACTAGTTTACCCATGCAAGCATAATAAATCCTTCTCCTTTTTTGCCACAACATTTTGCATTGGCTATGCATTCTAACCACAGACTAGAGGATGAATGCAAGGCAACAAATCCCAGTAGTGGCATTTCTAAATGTGACTTTTTTTTGTTTTTGTTTTTTCTTTTTGTTTAACAAGCTGTTCCAGTAGAAAATGGAAAAGAAGGCAGAAAAATAAAGCTAGCATGTCGACAAGCTGGAGTGCTGCACTGATACTGGTGTGTATAGGGAATATCATTGTGGCTTTGGTGAGTGTAATGGTATAAATAGTGGTGATCATGTGGAGGATACAGCACTGTCTGTGGGTGACCATGATCTCTCACATTTCCTCTACCTCAGGTACATTATATGCATTCTGAAACTGGATTGGTGTAATCAGGATATGAATAGGCACTTTCTACATAAACACTCTGGAAATAAAGTTTACATATCAGGTGAGTGGAAAACAACGATAACAACAAACAAACAAAAAAACAAACAAAAAAACCCCAGCAACCAGTAAATCAAGGAAATCAATCTAAAAAATACACATTTAGCCTAATAAATATAAAATAAACAAACAAACAAACGAAAAAAATGACAACACTCGAATAAACAAAACTCAAGTTTTCCAGTGGCACTTGGCTGAATAATCACATATCATTACTTGGATACGGAATACACTTTCTGGTAGGAATATATTATAGGAATTAGACAGCAGCCAACAGGCACCTCTAAACCAGCAGCTCATGTGTTATTCTCTCTCAGATATTTCCTACAGCCCGATCAAAACTTCTATCTTACATTACTATGTTATATATTATCCAATGTACAAGATACATCTGTATGCGTCATAATTATAAATGGCACTAGTGCACTCTTTTACACATTAGTTAGTACAGTCATTTTGGCTCATTGACCCTACATTGAGGTGAACTTTTAGTGCTGTCCTTCTGTATAGAATTGTTTGAGGTTTTTTTTTAGCACCTTTAACTGTTGGAACGGTTCATTTTTGCAAATGTGTTTTCAGCTGCTTGGCAAAGAAATGCAGTCATGTACAGAATGCTACACAATTTTCAACTGAACATGTTTTTTCTTTTTGACATAGAATAAAAGGTCTATTTAGACTGTGGCAGCCTTGATCAAGGACTTTTCCTTATTCATACATACTGTATAGAGATAATAATATCCCCCATTAACTTCAGGGATCAACCCAGAATCCATAAGCCAAAGCTTGGTGCGAGACACTGCACGTTTAAAGAGGTGAATTCCCTCTTTTTTCCGTGACAGAGAGTAATAACATGGATTGCTTTATAGGGACACCGTGGGCAAGGCTGCCATTTACAATCTTTACAATCAGACAAGATACCTCAGTAATCAAATCACATTCCATTTGCAATGACAACAAAAATGAAACTCAACTTTGATGTGGTGTATTCAGTGATGGACAAATGCTCCAGTTATCTGCGGGTATGGTGGAGACATGATAGACTTAAATGCTTTCTGCTTAAATAAGACTCCCTCTGCAAACTGTGTACCTTCGTGTTTTTGCAATCCTCGGCCAGTTGTGACGTTATGGTCTTCAGTGCTCATGTGTATTTCACTGTATGATTATCTGTTCTGCAAAAAATTAACTTAATTCTCTTCTTAAGCTATATAGCATTCACATACCTTGGCACCATTGGCAAAAGGTTCTTGGTAGCCCAAAACAAACAAATAATATTAAGTAAAAAACAAAAAATTAAACATAACCGTACTTGTTTTAAGATAATTTTGAAGACTTCTCCTAACACTAAATACAGTATTTTTTACTTTTTCATATTGCAATAATATCATGCTTTAGCAAAATGTTCTTCTTAAGAACAATCAAAATAAAATAAAATACTCTAATAGTGAAATAGTTTTAATTTTACAGAGCATAGCCACTACTGCTTTTGTTGTTTTTTTTTCCCTTTTGACTCTGTTCATACTTTTCATGCACATAGCTCATTTTTATCCCAGGTATTTACACTATATACAAACAATACAACCATACTTCTTAGGCATTCAAACAAAACTATACAAATATTCAGTTTTTGTCTCGTACCTGTTTTTGACCCATTTTTAATGAATAAAATAATATATTTCTAAAATACAATCCCCTTTGGGTACATGTTTTTTCCTACGTACTTTCAGCCTTCTTTATATACAGAAATCGCTCAATTGTCAAAAATATGGATTTGTCAAACCCCTATTTTGGGACAAGCTTAGGGACCCCTCAAAGAATCTCTAAGACGTCAAGGCAATGTATGTGATCTTCCCCTCAAAGGCCTTCACAGGCTCTGAAGTTCATTTAAAAAGAACAGTAATAACCTGCATGACCATAACCATTACAACACAAAATAGGCAAGTTCTTTTCTCTTGTTAGGTTTCAGAGGAGCAATCAATTGAACAAGGCAAACTGAAATAAAATAAAAAAGAAACAGGACAATACAGGGATAGCTTCATTACTGGAATGATAGAACTAATGGAGGAGAATATGAATATGAGAACCACTTACGTGGAAACAAAAAGAAAATCAGAGGATAGGCTGAAAGACTAGACCATAAGCACACAAGCAAAGACTTTTCTTGCCAAGAAGTCATGCATTTTTTTTCTTGGTAGGATTTAACAACATATAGCCTGAAGATACAGATCACCTATACATTGGACATGATGGAGGAAATACATTGGACAGTATGGAACAAATTCAAGTAATAAAGTGACAATATATACGATAAAGCATAGTTGTTTTTTTTTAAGAAATGTTAAAACAGAAATATTTTATCCCCTATCTGCTTCTGCATGGTTTAACCCCGACTACATTCATTTGTAGCTCCACCCGTGTGGGTAGACTGGTGGGGTAGAGCACAGTGGGACAGCAGGAAAATTGTTGAGTTAAGCTGAATATCGTCTAATCTACAGCAGTGGATAGAAGTGGCCGTGTGGGTTATCAATATATTTGGTTAAAAAAAATCCTTCTTCAAATGAATTGATTGGTCACTTAAAAAATTATGAAATACAATTAGAGCCCCGAGTGTTGCTGCACGGTGTCTCTGTCCTCTGAGATCTTCTGCAGCAGCCTCAATTTACGTCTCTTCGGGTCCTCACATGTGACAGACCGCCTCGGACATGTCCTGTGTTTGCTTCCTTCACTGTCCAAAACCTCTTCATATCCAAAAAAGACAAAGCAATCCATGAAAAAGTGCAAAAAATGCCATGAAGCAAATGTTCTGCACCCCCCACCCCTACCCTTTTAGTTTATAATCCTGTAGAAGTTGCCACTCTCCAAAGAAAATCAAGTCAGTGGAAAGAATAGATGTGTGGAAAAAAGAAATGCTGTTGTACATGTAGTCGAACCAGTAACACTGCAGCAGTAATAATAATTGCAGTGCTTGCATTGATGTTTTTTTTTTTTTCCTCTCTCTGTTTCTCTTGTAAAATGTCTCGGGTACAAACAAAAAAGAAAAAAGAGGAGTCAGGAGAGTGATGTCACATCGCAAGGGGGCTCTTCTGAGGGGTCTCATGTTCCTTGGCCCTTTTCAATTCTTTCACCCTGGAACACAAGAGAGAGACAAGTGTCCATGAATGCAACATCCATGACTTGAATATCAAGCTCTTCAAGACACACATACGGGCCTGACAGTATCACACTGCTCAGCCAGAGCTACCAGACAAATATCAAGTCGGCCCAAGATCATCAGGAACTACAGCTGGTCTGTGAAAGGAAATATTGGTCAGGATTGAATTGAACTTTGGAATAAACAAAGGGAGATAATTATGGCACAATTACAGAATCATTACTATATAAAAGTATTACATTAGGAATAAAATATGCTTCTGGGACAAAATAAATACAGGCACATATTATAATAACTACAATTACTCTACATTAATGTACTGACATTTGGCTACCTGAAACACATTTTTTTTTTTGTTTTTTCCCCCCCAAAATGCAACATTTGACACTAAAGTTGGACAACTGCACAGAGGAATTATCTTTCTACAATTAAAATACTATTTATTCAGTGAAACCATAAATCATTGTACTGGGTGTTATGGTAAAGGTAGAAATTATTTCTTTAGTTTTGCGCACACACAGGTACAGACTTAAAAGAAATTCTGAATTTGTGGGGAAAAAAAAGCAATTTTAAATATTCACAAATAGACTGACTGGTGGTTCATAAGAGAGAACCACCAGGAAACGGTGTGGATTCATAGAACAGACATGTGTCCGGAGTATGTGAGCAAAAACCAGTCAGCTTTACCCTAAAAACTAATTTTAACACATCAACCACCACCATCTGATGGATCTGGTTATTTCGGCAACATTTACGTATTGAGAGACGGCGTAGATGCACGGTGAGTGCACACACAGACCGTTGGTGTGTGCTGCATCTTCTCATGCTGAGCTGGTGTACTCCCTGCAGGTATGAATCCATTAAAAGCTCTGTGTTGTAGTCCCAGTGGGTGGAGGAAACTACTGTTTGTTTTTTTTCCGCTGTGACCTACATGCTATCACAGCTTCCTAACCTATATCACAGTATAGCAGACAAGCATGCCATAGGTAGCGGTAACATCAACAACCTCACCTGCTCTAAAAGCATGATAACCTATTTTAGGACAGTATACAGCTAATATGAAAAGAGTAAAAACATGAATCCGAATGTCACAACAAAGCAACAACAAGAGGGTTACATGAAGGGTGATTTTATTTTTCTCGTTCAGGTGTATTTATTTTTGTTTTTAGTAAAGTGCTTATTTAGTTATGTTTTGATCAACCAGTGGGCAGAACAGGTTTAACAAGTTGACACAGTTTTAGCAAATGGAAATTTGAGGGGTTAAGTCCCCCCTCGCAGTCTGTCGAGTGGCTAGAAACAGAGCACACAGCCAGCCAGACAGACAGACAACTACTTGAGAAACAGCAGGCCCATAGCATGCCTGAAGGTAGAAGAGCAAGGCCCATAGTTGTCACCACTTTGACATGCAGCAGAATAAAACATGGCTGAGAAAAAGCCTCCCGTTCTCTCAAACTGGCTATCTGCATAACCACACAAAAGCTGAAAGAAAAAGGGGGGGGAAAAAAGGAAGAAAAAAAAACAAGAACAAAAAAGTAATTTCCAAGAGAGAAAGACAGAGATAAAGAGAATCAGAGAAGTGCCTGTTAAGTGTTGCTGTGATATTGTCATTCATAAGCATTTTGTTAGTTTGAGATAGGTTCTGCTCTAAATCTGAGCTTCTCAGTCCACCTGTGGCTCCAGTCGGCAGCCTTCATGCAAGCAGGCATCAAGCAACAGTGATGGAGAATGAGGAAGGGTGGGTGGGGTGGTGGGAGAGAGAGAGAGAGAGAGAGAGAGAGAGAGAGAGNGAGAGAGAGAGAGAGAGAGAGAGAGAGAGAGAGAGCGAGAAGGAGAAAATGAGAGTGAGGAGAGGAGAAGAGAGGAGAGGAGGGAGAGAATGCTAAGGCTTGAGACCTCAGGAGGAGATAATTGTATTATTAAAGAGTGAGAGTGAGACGTAAGAGGGAGTAAAGGAGAAAGAGGCATCCAGAGTAAACAGGTAGAGGGAGAGAAAAAGAGAGAGAGAGGCACGAACTGAGTTGCTGAGGCTGCACTCACCCGCTTGAACAGTCTATGGTCCATCAAGGGGCTTGGCATAAACAGCAAAACAATACCAGACAGCTATTAGCACACAGTAGGCACTGTGAGGGAGGGGGCAAGGACAGGTGGGGGGGCCAAATACAGTGAGGGGGAGGGAGGTGGAGCTTAGGTGTTGGGGACATTTCTAACCACCCATTTTTATTTTATTTTATTTTTTTTAATTTCAACAAAAATAAATCAAACACATCACACAGAATGAAAAAATAGTTGAAAGATGGACAAAATTCTAAAACTAGTGATAGTTTCTACTGTGTCTCACTGGTTAACTCAATTATTATCGAATATAGTGAGTCTAGCCTACATAAACTTGTATGTGTATGCATGTATAAATGAGTCTGTTAGTATGAGTGTGAGTCTGTGTCGGAGCCTACCTGTGGCGGCAGCGTCGTAAGAACCTCATAATCTTCCTGGCAGCCTGATCCTGCCTCTTTGTAAGCAGACTACCTCTGTAAAACACCACATAGACAACAGTGTCTTATTATCCTGCAACCAACTGCTTCTGGAGTTTTTGTCTTTCAATGAAGATGTGAGAGGTTGCTTTGCAAAACACAATATAATTAATAGAGTGAAAATGGCTATTCATTGTCTTTCTGTAAATGTGTTGCTCATAAACTACTTTGCTCATCTATTATCCTTCAGTCCTTCAGTCAAGTCCAGCAATTTAACTGCTGCACATCGTTTTGTAGTGCGAAGTGTGACAAAGCACGCTCTTCAGTGACCTACTGATTAGTATTTTCAAGTGTTTTGCCTTCATTCAGTATGTGGCTGAGTGTCTACCTCAGTTTGTGCTGCACCAAGGCAGCAGCAGCCCCACGATGGTGGGGCTTCAGCCTGCCAAACTCCTTGTAGCTGCGGTAGTATTGCTGAATGAGCACGGCAGCCCTCTTGCTCTGCTGGAACTTCTTCTGTTCGTGGTAGCTGCGGAATTTACTCTGGATAAGGATGGCGGCCTGCGTCATCTTCTTATAAAGTGCATACTGCCGACGAGAACAGAGCAATGTGTCACGCTGTGCTGTGTGTGAACACTTCAGTTGAACAGAAGAACGCGATCAACAAATCGATCAATTCAGCCGTTGTTAGTGAAAATGTTTTACCTTCAAGGCTATCCATGTTAGCTTGTGAACGGAAAAAGGAAAAGATTATGAAACGTACTACGATGCAGCCTCGGATGTAGATTTGACCCTGCCTGAACACTTCAGTGCACTGGGATGCCTACCTGTTTGTATTTCTTGTAACAACGTTGTATAACAGCAGCAGCTACTTCTTGTTGCTCTCGGAGCGGCCGCCCCTGTTGGAGAGTAGAGTGGGATAGGTCAGAGGTCACAGTAGAACCTGATTTTTGCCGCAGAGGATATTAGTGGCTGTGTCTCCTTGAGGTCTCCTGGTGGCTAGCATGTGAATGCCACCATGGCATAAGTCCACTCCTGGTGGACCGGTCCTCCCTGAGAGAATTGGGGAGGAGGAGGTAAGCTGATGTGCGACAGAGAACCAAACCTCTGTATCAGCTGGCAGATGGACACAACAGTGAACAGGTTGTCATATTAAAACTCATTAAAAGTAACTGAGGGGTGGGTAGGGAATTGAGGAATGGGATCGGGCATGGGGAAAGGACTGGTGTGTGGAGAGTTATTTAAAAACAGGCAGTAGCAGGCTCAATACCGCTAACTGAGAAAGAAAGAGAGAGACAGAGGCACAGACAGAGTAAGAGAACGTTAGCTTAATTGTGTCTAATTGCAGCAGGGATACAGGGGACAGTGCAGTCGTTCCTCTAAGCAAGGCCATGCTCTGCTCAAGCCACCTTTCCCATGCTGAAACCACAGGGACATATTTGTATAGTTTTCATTTATGTTGTATTGTGTGTATGACCAGAGGGACAGAGAATGAGACAAAGATAGAGATAGAAAAATGAGATTAAGATTATCCTTGATTAAAAACAGCACAGAAGATGTTAACAAACCACATCACAATCCTAAACTCTACTGCAAAAAATCTGAGCTCTACAGCCTGAAACCATATAAAAGTGGGCTCTTTAACATCTCCTCTGAAGCCAAAAACAAATCCATCTAATAATACCGGTCTTAAGCCTGCAGCCCTGTGGGTGTGGGCTACAGTTCACACAGCTTATGGCACCTGAGCACCAAGCCTGTACCTTGTACTTGCGGAAGGCAGTTTGGACTAGGCGGGCGGCCTCATACAGCTCTCTCTGCTCTGGATCTGACAGAGTCAGCTGGGCCAGGTCTCGCTCCACCTTGCTGTTGGAGGCATTGATGAACTCACTCCAGTCAGCTGGGGAAGGGAGCGTTGACCTTTCCAGGGGCCCCTCTCTCAGTGGAGACGCCCCAGGGCTCAAGCTGGGGTTGGATGAAGGGGTCAGGGGTTCATTATACAGAGACCTGAGGAGAGAAAATGACATAAGTCCAGTTGGCTGCTGCAGGTAGTCATTATCTAAAATGACAGCTTAAGTAAATGTAGGAATATAATTCTTAACTAAAAGAAAATCTTTAGTTCTTACACGTTTTTAAGCCAAAGTTACATAGATATATAAAGCATTCTAAGAAGTGATAATAGAAAATTGTATTTATTTATTTTTTGAGTTTACTTCTGCAGACCTTGCTAAAAATAGTAGCAGGTACGAATTCTACTTTTCAGGAATAACACCATCACAGACAATTAGCTGACTTCAGCCACTGCACTTTTTAAATAAAACTCTTGTCTTACACTTTTGGTTAATCCATCATCCAGCATCATGTTTAAAGCAGTTACATCAAACCCCAACAGTAAGTTACTCTCAAATGCATGTGTGTTTAAATGCATTCTTGCAAAGCAATGTTCTTTTTGTGCTCTCCATCCATTTGATCCCATCAAAGTATTGCTCTTTTTGGACAATATCAGAGAATAACAAAGTATAGAAAACGTTAAAATACCTATGCAGTAAGGAAGACATGCTGAACAAACACCTATAAAAAGGCTATGCAATATGCACATCTGCCCCATGCTGCCTCTTACCGTAGATGTATGATGCTTGGCAGCTGTTCTACATCTCCCAGGTAGTTGGCCAGCCAGTTCATGGTGTTGCTGACCCCTGATGTGTCTAAGGGCACAGAGTCCGACGGGGTGAAGTTCTCCCTTTTGATTCTCTCTGGCGTTGCTTCAATTATGTGCTCTGCCAGAGTCATCATATTTACCTGCGTTGTTGAGACAAACAAAGGTCACTGAGGGGAGGATTCACCTTGTACATTTTTATTACTATATACAGTTTGAGAGACTGCCTATTTTGGTGTCTGCACATGGTCTAATCCTTCAGGTTTAACTGTTTGGCCCTGTGACAAAAATGTTGGCTTTAATGGCATTGGAGAGGGGTAATAATCACGACAGTGATATTGCTGGAGGCTAAAATTCTTAATCCAGCACTTCATCTGGTGGAGAAGTCTGATACGGATGCTTGGAAGAAACCCTTGGCTATTGAAGTGGATCAATAGAGAGAGTTTATTATGCGGTGATGGTCATCGACAGAGTGCCAGGTTGGGCTGGTGTACAGTGCCAACCCAATGCAAGAGGCTGACATAAAAGAGGTGGCTTGGTACTGTAATATCCAATTTGAATCTTATTTTGTCATGCTGTCCTTACTGATGGCTGTGCAGCTCTAATGGATGCCAGTGGTGCCAATAATAAATCCATACCACATTCTCCTTCTGATAGTGCGGTAAATGCAATTCTACACATTTTCTCTCTTTCATTAACTCTAATAATGTATGCTTGAAGTGGGAAAGACACTTTAAAATGGACACTTTTTGCCGAATGTTTTATTCGTCAAGTGCATGCATCATGTAGTTGTTTCTGCAGCCGAGATACAGTGTCTTATAGCAACATCAATTGGCCAAAATTAATTCTTTGGCATCAATGGTGCCAGGTTGTACATATTTTGCGGACTGAGTACACTGTTATTCTTTCCTTCTCACCTGTAGGTCATCCATCTGTGTGAGACAGTCCTGGTTCTCCAGATCCTCTCGATATGACAGCAATTCTGAATCTGCCATCTCTCTGTCTGCCATTACCAGCATGCCTAGCTGTTCCCGCTGACGTAACCGGTTGACCAGTTTCTCCTTCCCCAGGCTGCTGCTTCCACTGATCCCCAGTGCCTTCCTCCCCAAATTGCTGCTGGAGAAGCCCTCTCTGGAGGTCCACCGGACTGTTCCGGTACTGCCTCCTGTAGACAGGCCTTTGTCTGAGCTCAGGCCTTCTGAGGATAGGCTCTTAGTGCTTGAGGATAGCTTGTGGAGCTGCTGCTGCTCCAGGCTCAGAGGGACAGACATGGCCTTGTCAGGCCGAGTCTGAAACAGTTCTGGGTTGGGTTTATGTTTTTTAGCTAGTGGAAGGTCTCTTTGGCCCTCACTGCTGTAGTAGTTGGAGGGCTCTGACCTGGGCCTTCTCAAGTCTGCAAAAACAAACACATAACAATTTGTTTTTATAATACACGAGCAAAGATTGTGGTTGTCATGAACTATCAGAATGTACAGATCTCTTCCAGACAGTGACTTTTCTTCCCCTGCACTGACCTGGATTGAGGCTGGTGGTGCTGGATGTGGTTGTGGTGGTGACAGGACCTCCTTTCTTGCCACTGGGTGCTACTACACTGTCGTTTGCCCAGCTGACCATCCAGCTGTCTGTGGTGGGTGCGTCAGGGGCCGGGGAAAAAGACATGCGAGTTGTGGGTGGTAGAGGGGCTGGTGTCTGCTGCTCTTCCCTCTGAAGCTGCTCCAGACATTCTGCCAATTTGGTATGACCACGAGACCGGGCAATTGAAAGGGGTAAGCGGCCCAGAGAATCTGGGATAGCGAGGGCACGTCTGTCCCATTTATACAGGACCACTGCTGCCTCCAGGTGACCAAGCGCACATGCCCACATCTGAATGGAAAACAAACACACAAGGCCAAATCAGCAAAGTAAAAATTAAGCTAATCCATCACACAAACTAAGATTTATTTTGTTATTGCTCACACTGTCTCATGTTAGCTTCAGCTCTCTTACCAGAGGCGTGCAGGAGAAGTGATCCACATTGAGAGGGTCCACTTCTAATTCCAAATCAATGCTATCTGCATGCTTGGTACTGGGTGGAAGAGAGAAAACAATAAGCATCTTACTTCTATCCAGTGCGGTGTACACCAATTACAAACCAGAACACCATTATAGAGTATGTAGAGAATTTCCTTCTCACCGCCACTTGATGAGTGTCTGAATGAGGGTGGCGTAGCCTTGGCCAGCAGCCAGGTGAAGGAGTGTCATGCCTCTGAAGGTCTTGGAGTGGATTAAATGTTTGGACTTGGCCCAGCAAGCTCTGCTCATCATCTTCTCACAGACCACCACGACACGACTCTCGAAGGAGCTGCTGGCCTGCGTCTGGCCAGATACACACTCACGTACACAAAAGAGTAAATCGTTATTGGCTGCCTGTTTATCAAGAACAAAAGAGTCACTCAGTTCTGTTATATAGAGTTATACAATGCATTTCTCAATCAATAACAAGCCTCCTGTGTCCTGTCACATGTGCATTGATTGGCCTCAAGTACAACATATGAGCAGCATGATGTGGCTTTTTACCTGTGACTGACTGTTGTTGCCTCCCCCTCCACC